CCCCAGAGGAGCTGGCCTAAGTGGCTGGGGAGAGGGAAGTCTGGGTCTCTCTGCTTAGGCTGCTGCCCCCATGACCCGATCCTGGATCAGAAGAAGAAAATGGATGGATAGATGGATGGATGGATGGATGGATAGATGAACCACTGGACATGTTTTAGTGAAATCTCAGACACTAATCATTGCATTGATAAACATATGCAAATTCTTAACATTTTGGAGTTAATACAATTCAAGATGGTCACCACTGAACTTAGCTAACATAGAAATGGATATAACTCATGCAATTTTTCAGATAAGCTACAATTTGCTGGCAGTAGCAAACATTCCTAACACTTCAAGTGATAAAAGACTGTGACCCCAATTTAAATTTTAAATTTATGCTTCAAAGCAACAAAATAAAAAATTAAAAAAGGTAAAAAAATACTAATGCTTGTTCCTACAAAATGCAGTGTTTCTTACAATGTGTGCTGCCCGTTAACGAGCAATACCCCCACTCCCCGATGTTCGGCCCCTGAGCTGTTGGCTTTGGCCCCCTGAGCATATTAGCTGAATAGCCCTGATTTAAGATATTCCTTGACAACCCTCTGAGCACATATATGGCATCTATGGTTTGAGCAACATGTCTGTAACTATTATTTCTCAACATTAGATGGTCTTCGTTTAAAACTCTGGCATGAGAGGTGGTAGGTAATGTGCTTGGTAATTTACAAGGAATGCAAGGCCTTAATAACTTGTTTGTAGAGAATAAGTTACAAACAACAACAAAAAACAAAAGTACCTCAATGCAAATTGTTTCAATATTACAGGAAACAGTTCTCAAAAATGAACAATAAACTGTATATAGACTGGTTCTACCTCCAATCATCCAATCAGAAATGCACATCAGTTCTAACACATCATCTCTACATGGAAAATTGACGAAATATTGTGCTCCTTTTTGTTCATGCTATGCAGTGTTCAGATGTCACAGACAGGATTTTGACCTCACACTATCCGTTCCACAGCTACAGCTGCAACCCTTCTGCCATCACAAGGTTAATAGCCCCTCTTGCAGACACAACACTAGATTTCTTAGGGTAAGATCAAAACCTGAGTCATCCAGCCACCTTGAAGGAGGTCTGAGTTTCTCCGCTGCCTTACTGGGATGTGACCCAGAAGAGGGTGAATTCAGGAAGCCAGATGTTGGAAGCYTTCTGCTTCAGGGGGCAAGCCAGGCCAGAACCAAGCCTGAATGAGCACATGAGTGACAGAGGGGGTGATGGATCCGGTGGTGTACAGTACAGTATCTGCATGCTGAGTGACGGAAACCACATGTGAACCTCCTGTCAGCAGACAGGAGCTTTGCCCCCCCCCCAATGTGTGGTCTTACTTGTAGTTTCACTTTTTGTTACAACAGACACACCACTGACAACTCCTCGAAGCTGAGAGGCAGCTCAGCGTGGGGTTTAATGTCCCACAGCTTAGTCCGGGGGGTGGGAGGGCTCGAAAGCTGACGGGGCTTACTTCGCTGAGCCAGTCACCCTCGAATTGGAAGAAATTTAAATGACTCACATAATCAGCACCATCCTTTCATGCACCCCAAATTAGTCAGCAGTTTAAAACACTGTTAATAACTATGTAAGAGGGAAAACATTGGGGCCTAGCATTCTTTGAAGTAACGCACATCACTCACTGCTCATCGGTTTCAGACTAAGATCTTATGTTGAAAAATGTTAAAATGTGAAATGAACATTATGAACGAACTCATGATATCAGAATGAGTTGTAGATACTCATATAGTACATCARATTTTTGCTCAATGTTGGTCAAGTTGTAAATATTTAAGATGTCTACAATGAATGAGTGTTTTATAAAAGTTTCAATAAAATCCATCCAGTGTTTTGAGATATTTTGCTAACAGATAAATAGGGTCATCTTTAATACTTTAGCTCAGTATGTGAAAAGTTGATTAAATTATATCCATCTTTGTGTTTTCTAAATTGGAGCCATCTTGACTTGACTCCCAAAAATAATTAGTTGAAAATGTACATCCAATAAATACTTTCTGAAAGTTTCATAAAAAAAATTGTAGTGGTTCATGTGATGTTTTGGTGCCAGACATTTGAGGGGCCAAAACAGCGTTATTAAAAGCTACGATTATTCCACAGTATTTGACAAAACTAGATTTTTCTGCAGTATTATCTGGAGTTTAATGAGATTCAGAATTTGATTCAAGAGCTTTAGATATGTTAAATAAAACCAGCTGTATTAATTGCACTGTTTGTTTGTGAATCTTGATCTTACAAACACTCATAAATTCTGAAATTACAGTATAGAATAAGTATAAAGAAGCACACATTACTTTTTATTAGTATTAGATTATTAGTGTTTTTGTTCCTTCTCACCTGATTGTCTAATTAATTTCTATTTCAGCTAGCAGCTTTTGACAGCTGAGACAAAAGGCTTTTTTTTTACCATCTCATTGAGACAGATTGACCAAGAGTGTTGCTGCCATCTACAGACACAAGATTTCATTTGTTGCCCCCAACATACACACTTCCTTGCTCTCACACACACCCAACAGCCAACCAACCAAGGACTTGAGCACACATGAAATGATCAGAAATGCTTACAGCAGAGAAGTTAAGGATGCAGGAGAGCACAATATGRTTACCCCCTAACAGCTCAGAATTAAGCTATAAAGTCCTGAATGCAACATGGAATTTTATTTTTGTATTATTATTATTTTTATTTCGATGCCATAAAAACAGATTGTGACTAAACGTTTTGGCCCCTGAACTCTTCCAATAAAGCCGTGTCCATCTGTAGAGGAATTTATGTACTTATCTGCATTGATGGTGCATTTCCAGATGTGTAAGATACATGCCAGAGGCACTAATGCACCCCCATAGCATTAGAGAGGCAGGCCTTTGAGTGGTCTGCTGATAACAGCTTGGATTGTCTTAGAAAGGAGGCTGTGGCCTTTGTGGTTTCCAAAAAGAATTCCAAATTTTGGTTCATCTGACCACAGAACAGTGTTTCATAATGTCTCAGTCCATCTGGTCCAGAAACGACCACATTTTTGGATGGTGTTCAAATATGGGTGGTTCTTTGCATTACAGAGCTTTAACCAGTAATTGTTGATGGCACAGTGAACTGTACTGACAGTGATTTGTGGGAGTATTCCTGAGTCCATAATGTGAAGTTCTAACAGAATCAGATCTGTGAGAAAATGTTCTTTTTATGCCCAGTCCTCTTCCTGACTTGTTGCCAGTTAACTTAATTAGCTGCTAGATGCTCTTATAGCTACTTTCTTTTACAGCTTTTTATTGTCCATGTTCCAACTTTTTCAAGATGTGCTACTTCTATTAAATTCACAAATAACCTTACATTTAATGTTTACAGTGTTTTATCGTGAAAAAAATGTGGGTGTATGATATTTCCAAATAATTGCTTTTGGTTTTTAACTATCTGCCTTGCAGATTAAACAAAGGTTTTTGAACCCTGGAAGATTTGTTCTTCCTCCTGTCACCAGCTACAGAACAGCTTTGCTCCTGCAGGCACAAAAAATGAATGAATGAATGAATCCAGTCACCTATAAGGTAAAAGGTGGAAGGTGATGGGTGTACAAGCCCCTTCCCTCCGTGGACCAACAACAGCAGGTCTCTCTGCTGGATGCAACAAGCAGGATAAGACGCCGGCGGCAACGTGCGCCGAATAGACAAGTGCTTGGGAAGAGAACTGGGGGAGATATTTTGGAAATGTCGTGCGCTGGCATTATTAGCATATGCCTCATGTCAGGCCTGTCACTGTAAGGACGCCTGTGCGACGGTCAAGGCTGAGGAAGATTTATTATAGCTTCTCTTCAGCATTTGCTGGAAACACAAAGGAGTGTCATCATTCCCGTCATCTACTTTAGGTCAGACTCGAGCAACAAGGAAAAAGCAACAAGAGCAGACAGATGACCACAGATGCCTTTGCTTCCTGGAAAAGTGCCTTTGTAAAAAATAAAAATAAACCTGCCACATGTTCAACGACTAAACTTTAAACACTGAATGAATGTGCTTTTGCTAGAGTGATCGACTCATTTTGCCGGGCATGACTCAGCTTTTACAAGGTGTGCTGCGAGAGCACTTTGAAGGGTAGTATGACCACTGATTCCTGCTGTTTGGCTCCGCCACATGTGGCACACAGAGAGGGGGAAACGTAACACGGTCAGCCTCATTAACGGGAGAACAGCTGTACTCTCAAAGTCTGAGCAGATATCTTTTATCTTATGTATATTGTATACAATAACTATCGTTTAAAAATGAAAAGAAAAATGTTTTAACAAATCACTGTGGTTCACTCTTTCTTTTCATCCTCTTTGATGTATTTATAGAGTTTTCTGCCATGCTTACCTGTGGTTTAGAATGGAAGTGAGTGAACTGGGGAGGAGGCGGGGAGTTTTAAAATAACCTCTGGGTGTTTTGCACACACACACACTAATCAGCTGTTTTCCGCACCATGGGGTTGTAGCAGTGTAAGCCTGGTGAGTGCTGCCCCCTTGTGTTTGCACACAATGCCTGCTGCTGTTGGAGGTAACGACCCGATGTGCAGCCACTCTACACAAGACCTCCGCTTACAACTCAGCCTTGTACCTGACAACAGAGAGACTCTCATTACAGACCATAATACACTTCCAGAGCAGCTGTCGGAAACACGGCTCATATCCCACAGCGGCTTTAAAACAGCCCAGTGCCGCTGTAACATTAGGGAATTGCCTTTTGGTTAATACACTAATGTACCTGTAAGCTGCTGCCAATAGTGTAAGGGCCACTGGTTCTGGACACGTGGTTGTATCTTTCTAAGATAAGGTTTTAGTTTGGCAGTTTTTGGGATGACATGACCTGAAGGTTTTTGTGTTTTGTTACTTTTCACAAAAGTAAGTGCATGTTAAATATTTGCTTAAGAGGACTTAAGCAAATATTTAACATGCACTTACTTTTGTGACTCCTGAGAGAAAACACAGCAGAAGCAAAGATGGTTCAATGTTTATTCAAACTAAAAGCTAACAAAAAATACAATTATTTTATTGCTGTTCGTTATGCAAATTAGAAAGAATAATTTCTAACAAGGTGTGAATATTAATTCCTACTAGTAGAGTGTTAAAAACTTCTATTCAACAGTGAGCAAACTAATAATTTAAGAAAGACAATGTAAAAGGATCAATACAGTAGATATGCAATGGCGTCCGGATGAGGTGGTACAGCAGGTTTAATCTGACAAGAACAAACTTTGGCACTGGTGTATAAAAACTTGATAAAAAAGCTGTTTCTTGTGATGACACTGATTGTATAACACAATTATATGAATACGTTAATTAAAATCTCCCCATATATAATATAAGCAATATAAAGGTGATAAGATTTAGGTAAACGTATATCCAAGTTGAATAAACAAGACACTTAATGCAATAAAAACTAAAAAAAATACTACCAACTAAAGTGATAATCCAGTTCAAAAAGTTATCAGTAGTTAGTTTCTTATCAGTTGTGACACTAATAGATAAGTCAATGTAAAGAAAAGGGTGTGAGTTTCGTACAGGCCAGATTAGTCGTTAACTATAGGAGGGCCTGTTTTTTAAATGGGTTTTTAGGTTTATAAATGAATTCTTCTACATAATCAATATGCTGGTGAGAAAAGATGTGACAATAATAAAGCTGTACACTTCAAAAATGACTTTAAAGGTACTCATTGCAAAGTCATGTCGAAACTAATAAAAAAACAACAATTACGTGTGTTTGTTTGCCTACAGAAAGAGCCAAAGTAACTAAAAAAAGGGATCAAACATTAAACTTACTGGTCCATGCTTGTCTGATTCAATCATATTAATTAACCTACAGACTAATGTAGGTCAATCATGTGACTCAAACATCCACACGTTTATGGCATATTCAGCAGAGTGCTTTGTTTACATTGAACATGGACCCGCATTTCAGACCTGCCTTAAATATATCTGATAAAGTATTTAAGTAAACACTTTCAACCTGCACCATTGAGTTAACCTCAGGATAACCTTTTTTGTGTTTCATTTCATTCTTAGCAATGRGTACCTTTGAAAAAAAAAGGCACCTCGGGTGTTCCAGGAAATGATCATTTACAAAATATAAAAATTTAAAAAGGCCTCTTCATGAACAGGCTTGAATTCTAAAGCTTGGTGGTTAGTGTGGGCATACAAAGGCTTGCTGAAATTGAACAGCTGCTCCAGAGTTCGAACAGAAAATGTGGTGAACAGAATGGACACTTTTACTCATCTCCTCAGAACTGGTTCAGTCATTGTTGGGGCCGGTGCCGAGGACAACTACAATGCTTAGAAAGAGGCTATTCTACACTAACTTAAACAAGCTGTGTTAAAATTCCCATCAGCTCCTCGTTGAGGCCTTTTCTCACCGTGCTGTGATCTTGAAGATGTAGCTGTGTTGCAATCCGAGGGCCTAATTACTTTAAAAATGAACCTTTGTAATGTTTTTTTTCCATTCTTTTTTTATGAAATGTGATCCTTAGATGTACAATTACATTCCTCCTTCACCATGTTTTTTTTTTTCAACCCAACGTGTAAGGCTACGAGATGAATCATTTGGTACGAGCTTGTCATGATGAGGTTACCTCCTTCACCCACACTCTTTTCTTCTTCTGCCTTTTTTAGTACGGCTCTGCCTTTAGACTTCGATAAAGGCAGCATGTAAACACCATTCCAAAGATCTGTGGATCGGATCAAGGGTAGGAAGGAAAACACAAGTTATTATGTTTATTTATTTCATTTGTTTTTTTATGCAGAGTTCTTCGCTCACCTGTACACAAGCAATCCCAATGCCCACAGCTCCAATAATCTTCAGATGGTCCAGGATGAAATTCTCCAGTTTAGTGATGCAGCCCCCCTAAATGAGAAAACAAATGATTTTCATGCTGCAACACTTGATATAGGAGTGCTGCTGGATTCCCAGTGCAAACAAATGTTATTAATATACTGTCCCGCAACCCTCACATCCCAACGGCTGAAATACTGAGAAACGACAGTACTATGAATGTAGTATGCTCGACACACATCATGCTCATACCTCCACCTTGTAGATGTTGGATGGGTGGTTTCTTCTGCCGCACAAGTCTAACACAGTCTTACAGCAGCTGTCAGGAACGACCCTGCCTTCAGAAAAGACCGAGCGAATCCACGAGCTCTCTGCCCAGTCGGATGAGTTGTGGCTCCCACAGCACTTAAACTGATAGACGAGTTAAAGAAAAGAATACTTTACTTTTTAAATGGAGAACTGAGATGGTACAACATTACAATGATGGATTCAGTTAATTAATATGACACTTAAATAAATCTATTCAAGTGTGGCTCAAAGAATAGTTCATGTTAAGAGACATTGTTTTGCCTTGTTATAGTCAAACCAGATAACCATTACTACTCATTCATGAAAACTGATAGTAAGCTTTTTTTTGCGGGGAAGCAAAACCATTTTTTTGTTTGGTTTTGCCATCAGCCTCTTGTTCTTCATAACCCATAGATGGACCTGAATGATCTGGTTATCAGGGATAGGACTTTAATCTGCTCCTTTTGTCTGCTCAATCATCTTGGACAGCTTAAATTCCTTCAATTTTTATTTWTWTTTWTTTTMTTTTGTTTTCTTAACACCAGTCCTTATCTCTACAAACGTCTGGATTAGGGTTGGGTGATAAAGGACAAAAAAGTATCACAATTACTGTGGGTGGACCAGTCCAAAGGCCGCTGTAGTGGTGACAGAGAACTGAACTCTGGTGACCTGACCTTGGGATGATAAGAACAGGTTTTGGACTCTGGGGGTCTTTGATTGGTTCCAGCATGGAGTATTAACCTAAAACGTCACCAGCTCCGCTGCATCCCACCCTGTATCATGTGTTTGATCCCCAGCCCCCTTAGCTGCCTTGCACTGAGCGAGTGGTATATATWTTTTTTGAGCATATGATTCTGTGTTTATGAGTACAGCATCTTTTTTTAACTCATCTTTCCTATTGTGTGCACAGTATTTCAAAGCTGCAAAAGGTAGCGCGACCATGTTGCGAAAGACCTGGGCACCCATTCTCCCCAATGTTTGTTATGTGTGTGTGTAATAGGAATGGGTGTTCTTAACTGTAAGTTCCTAGTCTGTGTATTCACTGACAATGGCAATAAAACTAATTCTGATTAATTGTGGCATTTAGCTAATAACCAAAAACATGAATGTTAGGTTAATTGGTAACTCTAAATTGTCCCTAGATGTGAGTGGGAGAGTGAATGGTTGTTTGTCTCTATGTGTATCCCTGTGACGGACTTGTAACCTGTCCAGGGTGTACCCCGCCCCTCACACTGTTGGATATGGGCACCAGTGACTGTGACCTTGAAAGGAAGAAGTGCAAGATAATGGATGGATAAATAATGGATTTAGCCAATAAAAATGAATATGATGATTAATAGATTACAATCGCACTGGCATGTAGCCAACATTGTGGCCTTGGTCTACATTTTCTGGCTTTCCTCATACTCCAGTTTATGTCGGTGTTTCAGGCGATTCTACATTGTAAAGTTAGGGTTAGCATTAGTTGCTCTGTGCTGACATCTGTTATTAGGCTAACATGCATGCCTGATAGTGATAGTGTGTCAGACACAAGAATCACCACATGGCACTAACTGCAGTAATTGCAAAGTGGCAAACTAATTGAATGACTGACGATTAACTGAACATGATACAATTTTGCCCAACCCTAGTCTAGTTTTTGAGAATATTACAGCTCAAAGATTATACTGTACTTGTTCAGATTCTTGACAGAAGTAAATAGTAAAGTAACTTACTACTGGAATACCAGAAATTGCCATTCAGATACTTCCGTTTTTAATCTTTTGTAGTTCATGTACAGTACACTTCCTGGCCAAAAGAAGTCACCACCAAAACAAAGGTCACACACTAATATTTCATTGGACCACCTTTAGCTTTTATTATGGCACACATTCTCCGTGGCATTGTTTGGATCAGCTTCTGCAATGTTACAAGATTTATTTCCATCCAGTGTTGCACTAATGTTTCACCAAGATCTTGCATTGATAATGTTAAGAGTCTGACCGCTGCACAAAGCCTTCTCCAGCACATCTCAAAGATTCTCAATGGACTCTGTGGAGACAATCCATGTGTGGAAATGATGTCTCATGCTCCCTGAACCAATCTTTCACAATTCCAGCCCCATGAATCCTGGCAGTGTCATTTTGGAATATGGTCATGCCATCAGGGGAAGAAACAATCCATTGATGGAATAACCTGGTCATTCAGTATATTCAGGTCAGCTGACCTCATTCTTTGAGCTCATACTGTTGCTGAACCTGGACCTGACCAGCTGCTGCCACCCCACATCATAGACAGTTAAATTCTGGTGGACACTTTTTTTTGGCCAGGCAGTGGACTTCACACATGTATTACATGAACTACAGGACAGGGTCAGGCTCATTATTTTCCCCTTCTTTGATCTTTATGTTAAGATAAGACAAGGCAGCTCTGTATTCAATCTTAATGAACACAATCAGGCCCAAACTTATAACCACCTATTAAATATTCAACAAGACCATCTGGACAAAACCTCTAATAGTATCCCAAGATATCTAACACTGGGATTGRGTAAGCAGTATGCGTCTCAGTGTGAAGCCCCCCATAGATTGATGTTCCAGTGGAGCATCATACAGATGTCCAGATGTATTAGGGTCAAGGCTGTTCACACMCTGTCAATGTCTTTACTCTTTGACGTGTTTGTCAAGCTGTTCCTGAACAGATGTCACGAGTTGCTGCGGTCGTGCATGAGTATCCAAGGCAAACAGAAATACTTTATAGTTAACAGAAGAAAACTCTCTCACAAAACAATAAAACGTCTTCAGGAATGTGTTACATGTTTTATATATTAGCATTTACTACACAAAATAAAGTTTCAATAAAACGAGGATGTATGTTTACATCTCTAGGTTTGAAAGACAGGGTAAAAAACATGTACTGGCAGTTTCATCTGCAGCTCAGATTTTGTTTTCTGCTGTTAAATGCCAGAAAATAAGTACATAAAAAATAAAATAACTAAAAACTACAGCTCTAACTCTAGCACTGAAAAACTGCAGCTAACTCAGCTCCTACTCTTTGCTGGACCAGAGCAAAAAACTGCTTTTGTCAGGAGCTGGAGGCGAGCTCCTGGAGACCAACAACTAATTAAAATGTGAGCTTCATGTTTGAAAATGTGAAAATTGAGTTAGTTTTATTTTTACTCTTTTCTTCACGTGCTGTTTCTGTCAGGTCAGAGCACCACACAGAGCTGCTTTCAGCTGAATACTAAACAGTTTAAAAACTTTTCCAGTTCTTCTAATATCAACCACGTTGTATAACGATCCTGTTAGTGATTTCCAACCTCAACAGCATTTATGCTGGTTGAATAAYGGTTCACAAACATGGCCTGTTGTTTAAAACAGTCTTTATGAACTAAAAAGACATCTGTTATCACATGAAAATCACACAAACTCTGTGATTTTTGGCGATAAAGTGTCTCTGCAGAAACCCGGAAAACATCAGAGCATCAGTCATTTACAGGAAAAGGCGTTTAATGCGATGCAGTGACGTGGCTCTCTGCATGTGCAAAACCAAACCAGAACCAGTCCTGGTCCAGCACTGGAAACCTATCGAGTGGAAAAACCTTATTTATGACTCTTCAATAAAAGCCAAGGTTACATTTCACAAAACAAGGAGGTAAACAACTTAAGAAAATAAAAAATAAACTCCCAGATCGCCTAATTAGCAGAGGTTTCTGAAATACTGCCATAACCACAAGCAAAGACTCTGATGAGATCGACTCTTACCCTGTAGAAATGCATTTATCTTTTCCACTTACCTCTTGCTGCAGCTTGTCTACAGCCCTGGTGATATGTTCATTTTCTTTCTCTTCTCTATACTTCTTGACCATGGTGTTCTTCAGATTCTGCTTCAGCTCCTCATTTAGCTGAACACACACACACACACAGACACACACACACACACACAGACACGTTCAATATGCAGCAGCAACTCGCTACAATCCCAACAAAAATCAGAGGCAAGCACGGTGCATCCCCCCCACAAGCGAAGAATTAGTGGCAACTGTTGAGTTTTCTTAATATAGCACATTTACACTGCGGGAAATGAAAGCTCTTTTGAGTCGACACATATCACGGATGGCAGATCAAATGACAGTGAAGACGGGTCAAACGAAAAGGCATCCTTTAAACCGGTGGCAGAAACCGCTCACTAGAAGAGCAGGAGGTCTTGGGGGCTAGTTTCTATGGCAACAAGCCAGCTGGGAAACCACTGTAAATCAAAGCATGAAGCAGATATCAAGGGAATGAACGATGAAAAGAGGAACAGAAAACAGCGAAAGGGAGGGGAGAGAAGATAAGGAGAGTGATGGAGGTAAAAGGGTGTTCAGTTTTTACCTGTTGACAGTTTGGGAAAACGTCAGCAGCATTATGACACTGCCTTCACTACAGTGTTTCTAGAAACACATAGCTGTAGCTTTGGTGACATATAGCCGCTCGTCTTTTCATATCAAAGGCTTAAACATGTTTTTATTTTAATTAACACAAGCCTGTTTTGAGTGAAATACTGACACAAATTCAGGAGTTCGTAGTTTTAACAGAATTTTTATGTGAATGTAAAGTTTTACAAAAGAATAAAACAGAATCCAAAGAAAATGTGGAAACTTAATAATTCTAAAATAAGAGAACCAAAAGCAGGAAATCAAATACACTTAAAAAACTGATTATCAGTGAGTTATCAATGTGCTAACATCTGAACTAATGACCCTCTAATTGCTGGGAATGTGAGGAGACATAGGCTACGTTCTGCAGGCAAATCCGACCCAAATCCGATTTTTTTGACCCATCTGACTCATATCCGATTTTTTTATGGCAGTCTGAACGCGACAAATCCGATTTTTTCAAATCCGACCCAGGCCGTTTCAGTATGTGGTTTTAAATCGGATACATATCTGATGTTTTCAAAGTGACTGCAGTGTGAACGCTCATGTCACATTCATCTGACTTTTTCATCAGTGAGGAGGGGGTGAAGGATCGCTAAGACACTAACCTCAAGTCTCACTGTTTAAATCTGTAGCTCCATGTGTTTACAGCTCCAAAACACAAGTGCAGTTGCTTCATCTTTTTATTTTTCATTTTCCACATAGATAGTAAGATAATAATGGTCCAGCCTGGGTCGCGGAGAGTATCAATCCTAAAGTTCGATACTCYGTCGATACTTTTTTTAAGCTCGTAGTTTCGTTCAAAAAAAAAAAAAGCTTCACTGGAGCATCCCGGTCAGAGGCAGGTTCAGATATAAACACTGAACTAAAGAAGCAGGTCAGATAATTATTTAATCGGCTCTGATTAAACAACAACTTCTGATTCGATGTGCAAAATGTAGCATCCATGCTAGCTCTGTAAACAAACAAGCCGGCTGATGAGACGTCACGTCTTTTACTGCGCATGCGTGTCACATCAGTGCTGTGTAGCGTTCACACAGGGGTCTGATGCAGGTCACATTTAAAATGTAATGTGAACGTTCACACAAAAAGATCGGATTTTTTCAAAAAATCGGAACTGAGCATTAAGACCTGCAGTGTGAATGTAGCCTCAGCAAAGGAGCCTGACTTTTCTGCAGATTCTTGACATTGGTTTAGTATACAAGCTCATTTARTTCTTGACAATACAGTTGAAATAAAACAAGGACTTACTACCAGGAAAAAGCCTTTTATCTCTAAAAACACAAGCTCACACAAAGATTACAACTGCATCTGACAACARAGCAAGAATACTGTGAATATTTAGTGTCATTTAGACAAAAACAGCTCAGCTGCCAAACACAGAAGGGGTTGATGATGATACGGGCTTGGTTAGTAACTAAAGAACTTGTGCAAATTCAATTTTTGAGCTAATCATGAGCTCCTTTAAATCAAAGTATCCCAGGAATATATTGAAAACCATTGGAGACAATTAAAACTTGACCATAATGGGGTCCTACATGTACAATAATGCTAAAAAAATCAATGACCTAAGAACATAATGCAAGGTCTGACCAATGTATTCTGATGAACTCATCTGTAAAAAGAAGTTAGGAGAAAATGCAGATGTGCTGCCATTTTTCTGAAAAAGGTGTAAAAGTGAGCAGAAACGCTGACATCTGCAGGTCTAAGATGCTGCTGCTGTCTAAAAGAGGACAATGGAGTTTTTACATTAGCTAACTATATAGCACTCTTTCTTTACATCCACTCCCAAAAGATATTCAAAATACTGTATTTCTTTTTTTAAAGCTTTTTGCAAACAGCAATATTGGCTCTATACTGCTCTTCACAGTAAACAATCTTGGACAAAAGTGTAATACTAAATCAGTGCAGGGAAGTTGTGTCTTTCTTTGTATTACTACTGTTTCACAAACACTGCAAGGACCTGTGCTGAACATAATCATGATATAAAATAACTTTAAAATGTAACAAATGTCACAGATGTGGAGTTATAAGCAAATTATAAGATGAGTTGTTGAAATTTCATCTTGGAAAATAAAAATATAGAAATACTAAATATTTTTAATACTTCCTAGAGGTGTAGGAAATAATGCTAAGGTAAAAAAAACTAAAAGCAGAAGAAGAGTAGCCTTAGAAATTTTAGCAGCTCATAAAATTGTGAATATTCTGAAGCCAGTAAAGGCAGCCTATAAACGCAAGGCAGAGTCACGGACCTCTGTGGCTGCTCATAAGTTGTGTATTATTAATGAATGAGGCCGTTTTACTGATAGCAGTACGCCTCACGACTGAGAAATGTCCTGTTGCAGAGCTTCGAGTCACCAGGCTTTACCACTGATAAAGGATGCTGATGGAAAGAAATGCCATGCCAACATTACATATAGAAAAATACATCCCATTTGTTCCTTTGAACAGTGAAGTCAGTAATATGTTGATAAATTCAGCTGTTCCAGCTTGGGTTTTAAAAGAGGGTCATATGAAATCGGAAACTATTCATACTATTTGTAAAGTAAAGAATGTACAAGTATTTTTCAGGTCAAACATCACAACAAATGTTTTCAAACGACTCTGACAGAATTCAGCCTTGATGTGTGTGTTGTGTGTGTGTGTACTACTAGAGGCATTTTTTTCCATTCCATTTGGACTAAATGGACCACAAGTAATACGGGCAGTCAGATATTTGTATTTTTAATGAGCTGTCTTGCGTTTCCTTCCAGCAATCTCGACTTTTCATGCTGGTTTTGCTGTGCTTAGAATAATAGCACAGCACATGCCATGTGGGAACAGAAACAGTTGTCTGTGCTCCGTTACAAGGCTTCGACTACGTGCTTAGATTAGGAGAGGTGAAACACTTCCAGCATGGCTTCTTGGTTATAGAGCAGAGCAAAATATAGCTACTACACAGCTGAAAATCAGGCTGGCAGGACAAGTTACAGCTGAAACCACATGCTTATTGTATAAAAAATACACAGCCATTTTTTTATATCTGGCATTAAATCAGACTAAACTGTTCCTCATTTAGGTCAGTTAGATACACACAATTACTTCTACTTGTTAAATGTCAGAATATGTAACAACTTCTAGAAAAGTGTATTCCTTTTTATTAAGCCACAAGTTTATATAAATTTTCTGGTGGCATTACTTGTTAACTTTATGACTTGGAACAAATGTTTTGTGTAACTTTCCYCAAACTTCTCACAATACATTAGTGCTGGAATTTTGTCCCATTCCTCCTGACAGAACTGGTGGAARGGACTCATATTTGTATCGCACCTTGCTCGCACATGCCTTTGCAGCTCAGTCCACACATTTTCTTTGAGAGTGAGATCACAGCTTTGTGATGGCCACTCCAAAATGTTGACTTCTTTGTCCTTAAGCCACTTTGTAACTAAACTGGCAATATTCTCAGGGTCAATGTCTACTTTGAAGATCCCTTTGCACCCAAGCTTTAACTTCTTGGCTGATTTGAGATGCTGCAACAGTATTTCAACATAATATTATGGCACCTATTCTGTGAAGTGCATCTGTCCTTCCTGTAGCATCACACTCCCACAGCATGAAGCTGCCACCGCCATGCTTCACAGCTGGGATGCAAGCTTTCAACTTTCTCCTCCAAATGTAARGATGGTTATTAACAAATTAATCAACCCTGAACCTTGGAACAACTAAAGGCCCAGTCACTTTTGTAGACCAGCCTGGACCTCATGGCAACTAAAGACCTAATCTATTCTGTGGACCGACCTGGATCTCAGGACAAATAAAAACCTGATTGTCTCTGTAGACCAGCCTGGACCTTGCAGCAACTAAAGACCCAATTCAATGCAAAAAATAAAAAATAAAAAAAAACTAAAGACCCAATTGCTTCTGTGGACCAGCCTGGACTTCAGGAAAACTAAGACAGATACTGTATATAGGAGCCTGTCCATTCAGAGCATTTTAGATCACAAATATAATTTTGAAATCCAGATATTTTTATGCTTTTTTGTTTGTGAATCATCCATTTAAAAAACAATTTAACTGTAGACAAAAGCTTCAACTAAAAGAAAATATATTTTTTACTTCAGAACTGTTTCTCAAGGTTGAAATTTAAATCAAGTCACCCCCCAATTTTTTATGTGATTTTCCAAAGTGCTCCAAGCTGCTCAGATCTGTAGGAGAAGCACGGTTTCCTCTGATGCCAGTAATTCATTTAGGACTGTGCTGCTATARAGAACACCCCTTCTTTACAATAAATCACATTTTTGCCATCTGAAAAACATAAATGCATGTCAGTTTCTCCATTATAGCACCTCTACAACTGAACAAATACATTCAACAATTTGAGTGTTTCTTTATTTCATTATAAGAAGGGATTACCTGCTGATAGTAGATACAAGCCAGGATGCCAGCAAGGATCTCCAACAGGAAGATACACAGAAGCAGGACAAAGTACTGAGGACACAAAGAGAGATGTAGCAGAAAAAATTAGGTCACAGTAATTGTACGAGAAGACGAGTCAGTTAAAAATCAGATGTGCCAACTCATTGGTTTTGTCTGACATTGCATGAATCCTGCTTTCTCTTAATCTATTTTCTGTAGTAAACCATGCGAGCAAGGTCTTTCTTTAATGTTGTAGCAATCTGATAGAAAAACGCTGAAAACTGTAACATTTGTAGGTCATCAGGGTTGCAAACTTTAAAAGTCAATGTCAGATTGTCTAATAAAACAAAATAAATCTTACCATCATCTTAGGTCAGTCAATGAGCTGCATTAAGAGGTTGAATAACGGTTAATGGTAAATGGACTGTACTTAAATAGATAGTTAAATACTTAAATCCAACCAGGATAATGAGCATACATAAATAAATAAGAATAAATGTCTACATCTTATGTTTATTCAGGAACCTGCTCCCATTTAAATATTCAGTTTAATAAAACATAGGCATTCTATTCCTACATAAAAATCTTCCTATTTGACCCAAACTTTGTTATTTTATTTTTTACCTTGCTTGATTTTCAGTATAGCAAATGGATGAAAAACATGCTTGGAAATTTGAATACACTTGTACACCACGTACACCATGTTTATTCCTCTTACTAAAAGGCTGCAGTTAATGTTGTAAGCCTAAAAAAAGTGTAGATTATTAAACACGACACATTTGAACTATATCCAAGGTCTTTATGTCAAGAGGGCTTTTAAAATTTTATCTGAATTTATTGAGATATTCAATAAAGAGTTAAAGGATTTAATGTAAGACCTTTCTACATCAGGTAATATTCAATAAAACAAATTTGATTTGATCTATAAAGTGATTTACACCAATATGTGACAGTGTCAAACAGTGGCGCTTATTAAAAACTAAAAATTCACTAAATAAGAAATGCTTTGTCCCTATTAGTGCTGCATAAATTAAATCTCCGTTTGTCTCTGACATCCAGCAGAGAGATGCACAGTGCAGCGGCTCTAACAGGGCCGAGCGGCTTCAAACAGAAAACTTCTCCCATAAAGCTCAGCCTGACAACAAATCAGCTGTGTTTACCAATAACTCAGAAGACGAATTTGAAATGTCTTGTCCCAGCAAGATCTTAGAGATGCGCAGTGCTCCAGCTCGTCATTTCACTGTGGAACATCACCTGTCAGTCACCAGGGGCACAACAAGTGGTGGTGGGAATGAGGGACTGTGCCCCACTGGTTTTATCCTCTTGAGTCCCAAGCTTTGTGCTTATTTAAATATTTCCCAGCTATATATGATTATTATAACCTTATAATATAAAATGTTTTTTGAAAAACTAAGAATTAAAAATATAAATATATATTTTACTTAAAATAAAAAATAAATTCTAAATAGTTCATCTGAATAAAGACAACTAGTATAAAATAAATGTCCTCAATATCAAGATGAAGCTTTTCATGAGGTTAGAGGTATTAAATAAACCAATATTTTTAAGCTTTATATATATATATATATACTGTAAAAGGGACTTCTATTTTGAAACTTTCAATGTTTCCCTTCCCATCAGGGAGGGTCTGTCAATTGAAAATGTTTGGAGGAGTGGGGAGTTCTAAGCTTTAGAGCTTCATGAAGGTTTAAAGCTTAGAACACAGAATAGAAATCTGGTATACTGTATATGTATATACATATTTTTTGATAAATCATTATCTGGGTGACTGAGAATCTTGATCAGCCTCATAGATAAAACATTTGGTACCTCAGTGGCTCAGTTGGTAGAGGTTTGGTTTCTCAGTTGCTGGGTCAAATCCCAGCCTGAAACCTTTTTGGGTGGTGTCTACATGTTCTCTGCATGAATTGGTTTGTTCCCAGTATTTCAGTTTCCTCTCACAGACCGAAAACCTGCACCTTAGCTTCACAAGTACACACTGTACATCTCAAATAAATGCTTGTATGTAATTATTTTGAACAAAATCATGTTCAAGTCTTGAGTATTTTCAACAGCCTTTGAAAGTGGGCCAGTCAGTCGGGAACTCCCGGGCTACTTTTTTCTCCCCAGTCCACCCCTGGTGTCAAGAGATAAAGTGATTGTATATTAGTTTCCTGCAACGCGTTTGTAATAAACGCCTCTTGTCCTCACTGTAGCACATTTGTAGCAACAATGTTTTATTGATGAAATTAGCATACTCTTCTTTTCACTACATTCTTTACTCACAATGCACAGTGTATATGACCTTCTGTCCTTTATGCATATAGTCTCAGGGTGAACAGTTTTCCCTTTCTTTCTAGTAATTCTATTTGTGGGATTAGTGTCTTCTGAGAAGCACCTCTACTTTCAGAGTAAAGTTTTAGGCTTTTTCAAACCWGTCAAAGAAAAAAAAAGCTCAGGTTTGTCAAATATGATTCGTAGTATAGGCCCCTTTGATGTACCCTACCTCTCTCTCACCTGCTGATGGTCATTTTTATTAAATACATTAAAACATGTAAATTAAGACAAAAAATAAACCAAAAAGCCCCAAAACACTGAAAATAATCTGAACTGTATCCACACCACCTCCATTTTATGCATTATCTAAAACTCTAAAATAAAGTTGAGWACAAACAAAACCTTTAGTTTTATGTTTCAGGGTCACAGGAGAAAAATAAATCTAAAGGAGAGCAAATTATAGCGACACTCCTCTGTTTTCACAAAGGTTTGTTGTTTGGAGTTTATAATGTGTGTTTGATTCATAACCAAGCAAAAAGAGAAGTGAGTTGGAGGTCTACCTTCAATGACAGAGAAAAAAAGACCTTTTCTTTTCAGAATTGAAGGAAGACAGGAAAAGATGTTATCGGACTCAGACCTTGGCCTAGATTCCCTGTTGTCTGCAGCCATCACAGGGACAAATTCAGCCCAGTGAGGACTTAGTCTCTGATTTTAATGGCTTGGGATGATTAGATCTCTGAGCGGCTCTCAGGCTGAATGCTGAGCAGGGTGAATGTTGATGTTGTGCTCGAAGTCCCAGTAGGAAATAAATATTTAAATTTTCTTATGTGTACTGAAGAAAGAGGAAATAACTGACTGGCACATGAGGTAAAAAAAAAAAAAAAAAAGAGGAGCAGTACTGTAGGCACTGTAATATGGAGTTTTATACATAAAATCTTTAACCATTCAATAAGTCAATTTGATGGTTTGAAGTGTTTTAGACAATTAGAAAAAAAAACAGGAAAAAAAACATACTTTTAAAAGGGATCCCTGATTAGTTGTAACATTAGACTTTATTTAATAAACATGTATTTTAACTGTAAAATAAAGACTGTAAAAATACTGTAGGCTGT